GTCTAATATTTAAAAAACCGAAGCAGCACAAACGAAACTTTTACCTGCACAAACCAGCACAAACGAAGCACAAACAAGACTATTTGGGGTGAATTTGGAGTATGTTGGGGGGCTGAGTGACCTCAGAATGACCTATAAATATTATTTTAATATCTAAAAAACTGAAGCAGCACAAATGAAAATTTTTACAGCACAAACGATTGAGACTATTTTGCCGACGCCAAGCCAAGCCCAGTTCAAGTCTCTGGTTCTAAGTCTAGTCCAGTGAAAGAATTTGTTCCGGAACTTAATCTAGTCCAAATTTCTGGTCCTGAGCCAAATTCAGTCCAAGACTCCATTTCCGAACTAGGTCCGGTCGCTGAACCCAATCCAGACCCAGTTCCTCTCTGGCCGCCGATCCAGCCGGACCCACCTAAGCCACCATGTGCTCCACCCAGACCGCCATCTGTCTCATGTGCGCCACCTTCTGGTCAAGCAGCTCCATCAGGTTTACTTTTGGCCTTAATCTGGTCTCTGCCCTCTGTTCTGCGGAATCATCTGTGGTCTTCACCCTCTGTTTCTCCTCTGCCTCCCGTACCTCTCCACGGTCCTGGCCCTCCTTCTCTCCCCCTGTGTCCGCCTCTGTACCACCACCCTCGTGGACTTTGACAGTGTAGGGCATCTGGAATCCGCCCTTAGAGGGTGGGCTATGTCACGCCCGGTTGCCTGCACCACTGTGAGGCTTTAGAGGGCATTCCTGTTTTGTGTTCCTGCCTGTTCTGGTCATGGACTCCATTTCCCATCATGATTTGTTTTTATTAGCGTCTATCTGGTTCAGCTGTGTTCCATTTCCTGTTTGGTTCTGTGTTTGTGTATATTAAGCCCTGGTCTGCTATTGTTGGTGTGAGTTGTTAAGTGTTACCTCCTTGTGGTTCCATGTATTTTGGATGCTTATTTCTGTGGATTATCATTAAAGGATCTTGAACTGCATTTGGACCCGCTGCCTGTTGCCTACTTGTGTTAATTCGTAACACAACCAAAGAAATGTTTTATCATCCACACTGATGATGGTAGGACATTTAAGAATATTTTATTTGTTTTATAGATATTTTGAGAGTTTGTATCTTGACTCGGAGACAAAATGTGTGTATTTCAGAACTTCTGTTTGCTGAAACATCCAAGAACTCTGCTGACTTCTCAGACCTGACAAAGTTTGGTGCCTCCTCAAATCAGACAGATGTTGTTACTCTCACTACTTGTGGTAAGCAGAGTTAAATGTAATATGATAATTTTGTCTGACCCTGGGAATATCCACCTTGGAACATATGATAGTTTTGCTGATGCAGCTCTTGGATTAAATTTACATTTCTATGATATTCAGAGCAACAAAGGCTTTCTTGAGTGGTGTATAAAGACTGTGTAATGTAAATTCCACTACAGATTCTCCCCGACCCGCAGTGATCCGCTGATGTACTACAAATGTTTCCTCATTTCTTGGATGTCAAAGGACTTGTAAGTATTAAATGAGAATGTGACATATTATTTAAAAAAAAATTTTCTTCTTTTTAAAAAGTTTATTGATTTCACAAAAGCATTTTTCCCAAAAATTCTGCGAAAAACACTTAATACAGTTATTTCTTAAAATTGTCAATTAATAAAGCTCATCAGTAAATTCATGCTTTGGGAATGCTGTTCATAATTATTTACTTTTTTTTAAAAAAACATTATGCGTGTAAGAACATAGTAAGAGTAACAGTTCCCTTGGCTTTGGGCATGCACAGTAAGTATGAAATTAAAAAATTGTTTGCTCTCCAGCACAACTATAATAACTACCCCACTAATAGTTCGTAATTTTAAGATATTATGATGCACAACTTAGAGATGCCATAAACGGACTAGTTTGAAATAACTACTGTTATTTTCTGACTCCAGAATGGGACAGTGACATGGCTTCTCTACTTGTCCTGCTGGATCTTCTTACTCCACAATCAGCTGGAAGAAAGCAGCCCAAGAAGATCAGTGTTGGAGAGGCAACATATCATCTGGTGAAATTTCATAAGGTTTGTTAAGACAGCTCTATCCTATTCCAAATATTGTACGTAATGCCTATGTTTAAACAAATTGTTTATAAAGGGACATTTGTGTTGTGTTTCAGTCATGCCAAAGTCTTGATGATCATCTCCTGACCACTAATGGAAACCCTCAACCATATCTTCTTGCTTCAGGGTCTTCAAAAGCACAGGTTTCCACATTTTACATTGTCTTGGACAGAAAAGGTTTGCCTTGTCAGTCATGTACATCCTTGGGTACTTTTGACTGAGCAAGTCCAATTTAGTTTTTCAGTGTGAATGATCATAATGCTCTGTCCAGCCTGTACACATGTTTGCAGACAACTATGACTTGTAAGTATTAAATGAGAATGTGACATATTATTTAAAAAAATATTGTTACATTAGATGTCTGAGTGGTTGTCTTTCCTTTTTTAATTAGATTGTGCAAGAGTTCTCACTGATGTTTGGAGCAGAGGCTGCTTCAAAGTTCCTGGAAAAATGGAACACCAGTTTTAAAGAAAGTCATCCAGGAGGTCAGGAACCTTAAAGAGCCTGCTCTCCTAAAACAGCATCTGAAAGCTGTACTGAATGATGATCCAGGTACAGTCATCAAAATGGTAATGTTGTTACTCGAGTCAATCAATCTTCTTTTTAAAAAGTTTATTGATTTCACAAAAGCATTTTTCCCAAAAATTCTGCGAAAAACACAATACAGTTATTTCTTAAAATTGTCTATTAATAAAGCTCATCAGTAAATTCATGCTTTGGGAATGCTGTTCATAACTATTTACATTAAAAAAAACATGATGCGTGTAAGAACATAGTAAGAGTAACAGTTCCCTTGGCTTTGGGCGTGCACAACTATAATAACTACCCCACTAATAGTTCGTAATTTTAAGATATTATGATGCACAATACACAGGGGTAACTTAGAGATGCCATAAACAGACTAGTTTGAAATAACTACTGTTATTTTCTGACTCCAGAATGGGACAGTGACATGGCTTCTCTACTTGTCCTGCTGGATCTTCTTACTCCACAATCAGCTGGAAGAAAGCAGCCCAAGAAGATCAGTGTTGGAGAGGCAACATATCATCTGGTGAAATTGCATAAGGTTTAAGACCGCTCTATCCTATTCCAAATACTGTACATAATGCCTATGGTTAAACATTGTTTATAAAGGGACATTTGTGTTGTGTTTCAGTCATGCCAAAATCTTGATGATCATCTCCTGACCACTAAAGGAAACCCTTAACCATATCATCTTGCTTCAGGGTCTTCAAAAGCACAGGTTTCCACATTTTACATTGTCTTGGACAGAAAAGGTTTGCCTTGTCAGTCATGTACATCCTTGGGTACTTTTGACTGAGCAAGTCCAATTTAGTTTTTCAGTGTGAATGATCATAATGCTCTGTCCAGCCTGTACACATGTTTGCAGACAACTATGTACAAAATTGATATAGATACAGCTGAAGAAACTCCAAAAGTCAAAGAACTGAGAGCAAGGCTGTTGAACAAGCAGTAATTGTCTTATTCAACCAAAATGTTAAGTTGTTTCCTCTGCACTTCATCCTTTGGTTCAGCTTTGCATTTGTTCAGGCACCTCAAACCAATTCATAGAATGTGTCCTGGTATCACAAGTTGTTCCTTGT